TTTATAATTCAAAATATCTAATCTGTTTAATTAAAATCAATAACTGATAACTATTTTTAAAAAATTAAACCAAATACCCCTTAATATATATTTTTGCATCTTAATATTATGATATAATGAAGATAAAAGAGGTATTTTAGTATGTATTTACTTTCTTTGATATAATTTTTAATTAATATATTTTTAAAAAAAATTTTAAAAATAATTATTTTTAAATTTTTTTTATATGAAACTTACTTAACGAAAAGCTCATAACTTTTGTTACTAACCTTTTTTATATAAATTTTTTACTAAATAAAAAATGCTTATAATATAATAAAATTTAAATAAAATTTTATTATAAAATTTATTAATTTTTTAATTTTTTTTAATTAACCATATAATCTTTTTTAATAAAATTGACTATTAACCAAACATGTTAATAGTCAAAATTCAGAGGGTATAGATGGTAGCAATAGGATGCCTAAAACGCTGATTAGTTACATCTACCACCCTCCCAACTTTCAAATAATCCAAAGGGTTAAGAATACCTAAACCATTTTCAAACCTGTCCTTCTCCTGCTTCATTGACTGGAGTTTCGGCAATTTAATACACACAGAATCCAATAACACATTGGCAAACAGCATTGGCATTAACGACGCCGAAAAAACAGAGAAACATCGTGGATTGCCTACCAATATAAATAGGAGAACGTGTCACAGTGCCTGTTTTTCCACGCCAATTAACAATAGGAAACTATGGATAAGTAAGGTCAAAGGTCTAATTCTCAACCCGAAAATTTTGAAAAAAAGAAAGCCCTTTTTTTTATAAATTAAATTTAAATTTTAAATTTTAAATTTTAAATGTAGTACTTAAAATTTTAATCTATTTAAGTACATTAAGTCAATATAAAAAGTCACATTACTAAAATTGTTTAAAAAATTAATTTTAAAATATACTCAAACGGAAGATACTCTAATCTTTCAAATTATAAAAAAGGGGTCTAATTTCCACAACTATATTAAGAGCAGATGCGATATTTCAATTAATTGCCATTTTTCTCAAAGAGCATTCAAGCATCTCAAACAAATTAAAAGATTTATTAAATTTAAAAATTATTTTTTGTGATATTTATATTATGTGAAAGCAAGAACAAATAAATGTTTAATTTGTCTCCATTATGACAATAAAAAAAAATGTCTCCATCATTTTAATCAAGAAAAATTATGTTGAGGTTAAATTGTGTAGTTCTTGAAGAACCCAAAAGCCTTTTATTGACTTTTCACTCAGCAAAATCCTTATAATTCAATATGAATGATTAGCATATCTTTCAGTTTAATACATTATATAACACAGTTATTAAAGAATTATTTTTTAATTTAAATTAAAAATAAAAAATTTAAAAGTTACAGAATTTAATAGTTAAATTAATGAGTGTTATGAGACGTATTAAATTCAAAAGTATATCAATTATTATTTATTTAATATATATACATTTACTCATTTAAACTTATGCATTAACTGCACTAAGTTAATGTAGAGGTATATTTTTAATTTAATTTTTTAATAAAAATTAATTTTAAAATGCATTTAAGCTGATATTAATGAAACACCCTCACAATCTTAATAAAAAACACTTCTAAAGATACGAAATCACAATTTTGGATCACACGGTATTAGCTATATTACAATCAATAATGCTAATCAGATAACAGTCTGACTGATTAAAAAAAATTGTATTACAATTTGTCATATTGCATTGAGTTATGGCAACATCATTGAACAAATTAATACTTTAGGGTTAAGTAATGAGATCACTGAACAATTTAATATTTTAGACCTAGCTAGCTAGTACCTTTAAAGATGTTGAAATTAATATAATCCAATAAGAATAATCTCTATCTATTTTAACATAAGAAAAAATCATCCACACTCATATGCATGTTTATATTATCAGTAACCAAATTCCTTCGAAATTTTCTGTTAGAGGTCCTTTTGATGGGTTGGAGGCTTGTTGGGTTTGGAGAAATTGTCGTCTACTAATTGGAGTAATAACTCACTAAGTTGTTTGAGATCTGTAAAAAGGAGGTTGACATGACTAATGTTACGGTTTTTTGTTTGATTGGATTTAAATATTACAAGTTTGTAACTTGCATAGGGGTAGAAAGTACCCGTATACTACTAATAAATAATAATTTTTTCCTTAAAAAAATCGAATTCCTTGGAATATTTGTTGAGTGTCCATATGATTAATCCATGAATAGGAACCTAAATTAAATTAACCTCACCCACTCCCACTAAGTTGAAGTGACATGCACTCAGCCACAAATCAGTTTTTAGCAAAAGACTACAAAAACATCAAATTTTCTGCAACCAAAGAGGAAAATATTACATCAAGCGCACTTCTATGGGTTCACACATGGATTCTCACTCCACCATCACTGAAAAACTATGGCGACTTTGCACGTTTGCAAGCTTTATAGTAATTCTTATCATTTTTCTTTCTCAAAACCATGATGGAACAGGTATAGTTGTATTGCAAAGCTTGCTTTCAATGGCTAACGAGCAATTTCCAGAGCCGAAAAACGTCAGCCAAATTCTGCAGTCACCACCATCACTTTCTCCTCCTCAATTTCCCATAGCTAATGAGCAATTTTCAGAGCCAAAAAACTTGACTGAAGTTGTGCCACCACCGAAGTGTTCTCCTCATCAATTTTCCACGTTTGACTGGCAGTCTTCAAAGGCAAAGACTGTTTTATACAATGAAATGGAGAAAAAAGAGTGCAACATCTTTGAGGGAAAATGGGTGTATGATCCTAAGGCAAGCCCTCTATATGATGCAGCGCGATGTCCATTTTTAAGTGACCAAGTGAGTTGCCAAAGGAATGGAAGGCCAGATAGTGAATATGAGAAATGGAGATGGGAACCTAAAGGGTGTCAGATTACAAGGTAATTAAGACAAAATTTTGACTTTGGATACATCTTTCATGTTCTTTCTTTGACAAATTTCATTTTGTAGGTTCAATATAGGAAAGAAAATGTTGAAGAGACTTAGAGGGAAGAGAGTGATAATTGTAGGGGACTCAATCAACAGAAACCAATGGGAGTCTCTCGCCTGCCTTCTTTATTCTTCTACTTCTCCCAGAAAAGCTCATGTTCAGGCAGAAAGAAGTGACTACAAGGTCTTCAAATCAAAGGTAAAATTAGCCTAAACAAAGCATTCAAACTTGAACTTACAAAAAAGTCAAAAATCATATCATAATTCTATCTGTTGATAATTAACAAGGGAATAATTTCTCTTGTTTGCAGGCCCACAATTGTTTGGTTGAGTTTTACTGGAGTCCATTTCTTGTGCAATTGGAAACAAACCAAGCAAACACAGGTAAAAGAATACTAAGACTCAACCAAATTTCATCCTTTGCCCAAAATTGGCTTGGCGCAGATGTCATGGTGTTCAATTCTGGTCACTGGTGGGAGCATGGCAAGGATATCAGAGCGTAAGTTCCCTAATAAAGATATACAATGTCTTTTGCTCAGCTTTTGAAACAAACTTTTTTGTTGCAAAGGCAGAAACCAACTAAAGAAAAAAATGATCTTAAAAATACAGCTCGTCACTTTCCTAAAAGTTGATTTCATAAGGTACAAATACTGCTAAAATTGAGTTTGAAATTTTTTTTAAAATTTTTAGAATTTTTTATAATTATTAAAAGCGGTTTCATCATTTTTCATTTATTATTTTTTCGAGTCATTCATTGTTTTGCTATCCGAACTGTGTTAGACTACAAGAAAAAGAAACATTAGATGAGAAAAGTCCTCAATGTCATTTAATGGTTTAGGTAATGTATTTCAATCAGCACATAACTTTTTGGTTAATTTTCTAAAAATTTTAGTACCCAAGCCACAATTTACAAAAGTCACAATGAAAAAAAAACAACACATTTGGATGAACTGAGATTGGAACTTGGGAGCGAAATTTTTTCAGGTGGGACTTGTTGGAGTATGAGGGAAAATTGGTTGAAGATATGGAGATCACATCAGCGGTGGAGGCGGCCCTCAAGACTTGGGCTAGTTGGATTGATCAGAACGTGGACAAAAGCAAGACAAGAGTCTTTTTCCGGAGCATATCGCCGGAACACAAAGATGCCTTTTCCTGCATCAACCAAACCGAACCCAGTAAGGACAATGATGCAACACCATTTCCCAAGCCGATTAGAGAAACTGTTAAGAGAGCAATCGAAGGTATGTCCACTCCGGTCAAGTACTTGAACATCTCAGAGCTTTCACGGTATCGAAGAGACGGGCATCCTTCTTTTTATGCGAGGAAGCAGTCTTCTCGGCCGGATTGCAGCCACTGGTGCTTACCGGGAGTGCCTGATACATGGAACAGACTACTGTATGCATCCATCATCCTGGACAGCACCAGAAACGTTTCTTCTCCGTCAGACGCTTCATCACCGTCTTGAATTGTAAGAAGAATGGGTGATCCATAAAGATGGGTTGGCCCACTCACCATTTTTTTTTATTTCTTACACGATCGTCAATTCCAAATTAAGACTGTTTCGCATAAATTTATTGGGAAAATGAAAAAGAAAATTAGGGTAATTCGATTTTATTTCTTTACTCGTTAGAGCTTGATTGGCTTTCACCGGGTGTTGTGTTTTTTTCTTTCTTTCTTTCTTTTTTTTTTTTTTTTTTTTGAGAAGCTTGGTATAGACTACAGAAATCTTCCAGAAAATAATTGAACTATAAATTTTTTTCTTTTTTTGTAGAATACAAGAGTTTTCATTAACAAATATCAAGAGATACAAATATAATAATAATAAAATAGAACATTTAGAACCATCATCAATACTCAACCAGTATCTACCGTGATTTCTATAGTTGGCCTAGTGCCTAAAGAAGTAGTTCATGGGAGTCTTGAAAACTAATACTACCATATGTACTATAAAGAACTTAATTTGCATTGGTCTTAATAACTTAGATGAATAACTTGAGAAAGTCCTAAAAATACCTGAGTTATTATATATTCACAATATATGTTCACAATCTACCTATTATCAAACTATCATATATGGCAGAATAGGATCCTACCAATTCAGCAACTCCCACACATCAATTTTTTTTGCTCCTTATTTATATAATAGACATTATTTCTTTTATAATCTTCTTTGGTATTAGGTCTCATCTTAATTTTTTTTTTCATTTTTTTTTTTAGAATCATCCATGATATTGTAAGTGATATTATTAACAAAAAAGTTTTTCTCATGGCATCACATCAAGGTTGTAATAAATCAAGTTTGTTTTCCAATAAGGGAGCTCCCATAAGATGCTCTTTTTTACCCAATTATGCCAATACCAAAACCCTTTATGTTTTTCTTCTTATTCGACTTCCAAATTGAATGTTGGGAAAATGGCAAATGTCTCGCCAAATCTGTTCATCAAACAATCTACATAGTGAGTTTAGGTTTTGAATACAATTTTTGTAGAAGTCTTTCTTACATTTCTTGAAGAGAGACTTGGCAGAAGTTGTTGGTGACAATTAAAGAATGATATCTTCCTTCCATTCTTAAGGTAGAAACCTTGGTGTTTTCCATGTAGTAAGGACATGACAACTTTTGTGTGTGCTCCACCCTAGAAGCATTTCATGCATAGGAAGACCAAAGATAGTCATTTTGAAGTGTTGATACCTGATGCTATTATAAATCTTAATACCTGTATCTCAAAGTTGCTTCAACTCATCAATAAATGGATATGAAGCACCACATCAATTTTCTTTCATGTACTTTGAGGTCCAACTATAATTAAACTAAGAAAGATGCACTACACTTCATGCACATCAATGAGGGCAAATTGTAAACAATTACAACAATTAGCCAATGTAAGTATGTCGTTGAAGTTTGTCCAAATGAATTAAACATATCCATGTATAAACTAAGCTTAACATTTGTTGGTTCTTTAACAAACTCAAAGGGAGTGTGGTCAAGTGTCTCCATGCCATTGCACCAATAATCTTTTCATGTTCATCACAAGACTTTGCATGCCATGTCATGTGCTCTGTGGTTTTTTGACACATGAAAAGCCTTTTAAGTCTTGGTATAATTAGAAGGTGCCACAACATCTTTCTAGGGATATCTCTGCACTTAATTAAATGAACTTTTCCTTTGCTTATACCATGTTTCACAACGTACATGACAATTCCTATTGCTTTACTTTCTAAATCACCATAGTACCATACACAATTGTTTACACCAACATCACATTTCTTATAATTAAGAGCAGGCCTTATCATTTTCTTAGAATTGTAAGTCTTTTGGAAAATTTTCTTGATCCTCTTGCTTGAATCTCGTCAAAAGACCCTCCAACATGTAATCTAGCTTGTCACATACATGTTGTAAAGCATCTTTTCATTGAGTGTATAAGTCAACCATTGTAGCACTGACAAACCAATTATGCATCCATAATGCAAGGGTATTTCTATAACTTGCAACCAATTAAAAAATTCCTCGATAGATACTTTTAGCTCTCTAAATACTTGTTCAGCAAAACTTGTTCCCTTAACACCTAGTGTCTTATTCATCATACCTACATCGCCAAGATTATTATCATTTTAAAAAAACATCAAACATATTGCATCAATTACCTTATTTTTGTATGGATCACCATTAGGTTCATCATGCCTAAAAACAATTAAAGATGATGATTGACTCTTATGAAGGTGTTGTTGTTTTGCATTATATTCTTTATGTGAATCCACATGAGATACCCATCCTTAAAACCATATTCATGAATATGCATCCTCATCATGTGACATTTATGCTATTTCTTATGTCACATTTTATGCACAGCCATCAGATCATATTGTGACTACAAATCTCTAGTTCATATTATGAAAAGGCAAAATCAAGGAATATATTGACATTTGTTTTAAATTCCTAAATTAAGATTTCAATATTGTCATGTTGACAATTTATTCAACTTGTGATAAATGTATCTAATATTGCCTTAATGAAATTGAAAAGATATTTCAAAATATTAAGAACCCATTAATTGAAATAAGAAAATTATTAATTTATTTAATTATAAGATCTAGTCAAAACATGAGTAAGTGTAATATAAGTTGTAAATTTTTAAATTTATATATGCTAACAATGTTATTAGATGAAAATTAACAAACTAACTACAAATTACAAGTAACAAACTTAAATTACAACAGCAGTTAAGCCTAAACGAAATAAAGAAAGTTAACTAATAATAGCAAAAAAGATTTACAATAGAATGTCACTTAAGGATTAATGGTAACTCTGCCAATAGAATGTAAATTGTTATACATAAAATTCTTCTCCCACCTTGTGAATGATTTTATAACAAATTACATATGGACAAATCATGAAACTAATCCATATTCAAACTAGGAAAATAAAGCATAGGGTAAAAGAAAAATACAAACATGTAAAATCCAAAAAATAAGAGACATATTATCACTATAAAGAATGTGCTATCTATTGGATAATTGCCGAATGTACCTCATAATTGCCGAATTTACCTCAACGGCTTCTCAATGGTTGGTGGTGATAAAAACACATATTCAATCCATTGGGTTTGAGAAAAGAAAGGAGATATGTGTAAAGGAAAGGTAGGGCCAGTAATGGCTCTAGACCCTTATCTCACAAATTAACTCCATGTGGCAAAATTGGTTTAATAATTTTGGAATTACAAAATATTGTTCTAAGTTTGGCATTGTAATACAGTATTAAATACAAATAGTTAAATATTATTGCGATATATATCATTTATTCCCCAACTCACATTTCAATACCATAAATTCTAAGTTAATCTTACTCTAAACAATAAATGAATCTTAAATAATAAACTTAACATAACTTATAACCTAAATACAATATAAATTAATACCACACCATACTTACAAACTAAATCTCCTGACCATTTCTTCATCTCTTAAAAACTTTTAGTTTTATAGTTTCCATTTAAAATAATTTTTTTTATCCACAATATAAAATCATTTGGAATCTCATTTTGGTGTCAAATATATTGCCACTTCAAAGCCCACATAACAGTTCTATTCTATTTATTTATGCTAATTAATTGACACCACATAATGGTGTCCATAACTTGTCGAAACTCATACTCCAACATTTACATTGAATCTTCATTTTTATTTCAGCATATTTTTATTTTTAAGACTGTTGTATGTGAAACATGAGCTCCATTCAAATAACATTAAGTTGTTGTGCCTAATACATTGACTCCAAATATTTTATATTACTAGTAAGATTTTAATAGTACAGTGCAATGTTAAATATTTAGTCATGTTGAATGATTAACTATGTTGCATTATTTTCTAAGACATTAGTATTGATATCTTCTTTTGGTTTTATAATTATTTATTAGATATCGATGGAATATGGTGACAAATAGTCAATGCCTAAAAGTGATTTTCTAGTAGTTTTTCCCCTTTTTTCTCCTTTTCTCTCTCCTTGTTATAGAGGATAAGGAACCAAAGTTTGGTTGTTGTTGGTAATGCTTGGGCAAGGCTTAGTTCATTAGTATGAAGCAAATCTCAATTGATGTAGATAGGTACTAGATTGTGATGATGATATCTAGTTCTAATAAGAAAGATTAAGGGTGAAGCGGTTAGGTTGGTGGTTGTTAAGATGATTAGGTCTAAAGTCAAGGGTTACTGCTGATTGATTAAAGCCACTTGAGGCCTATAAATAAAGGGCAATGTTGGGACTGTGGCTTGTGGTTGGCTATAATAGTTGGGCTAATGATATTGGGTTTTACATGTTGAGTTTCAAGAATTCCCTTAAAGGCACCTACAGTGCTTGAGATGTTTGAACGATCAAAGTATGGCTTTGGTTATTCAGCAAAAAGAATAAAAGGATTGTTTTGGGTAGGGAAGAAATCCAAGGCCGTTCATGAGATGATTGTGTGTGATCTAGATGAAGGGATAGTATTCCCCACAACATGGTTGTTTCTCTCACCATGGATATGGTCGAGCTATCAATGGGTGAGGACTTATGTTAGCCTAAATACCTCTTCTCTATGAAGTTTGGCAAAACAATTAGGAAGGCCCAATAACTTAGATGCTCATAATGATGTTCTTCTTACTTCTATATTTCATTTATGCTCTTGCAACAATTGCATGACAATCTCTAGGTATAAACAGTTCTAAACTTAATTGTTCATATCCATTATTGGCATAGTTTTTAATTGTATCTAGATTTATAAGTGAACTTCTCTTGGCTTTAAGTGCCTCAAACTAGTGATTTATATGCAATATCTATTTTCTACTTCATATAATCTCTATTTTCAAAACATGAAATTCAAAAGACAAAATACTAAGGGTTTCTTTAGCAGAGCTTAAAACAACTTGCTTTTTGAGGAAATTATTTTTACACAAGTTTGAGGAAAATTTTGAATTTGATTTTTAAAGTGACCTATGTTATGACTCAAATTTTTACATAAATAATTACCTAATTAAGGCAAAACCCTATGTGAAGCCTTTAAATGTATCATAAATTCTCAATTAAGCTCCTATACTTTTATTGAAGTAAGTATAGC